GAGAATGCAATTGGAATTGTTTATAGAGCTTGACTAAACAAAATAACTGTGTAAATTCGTATTTCATTATACCTCTTCATTTCAATTCCGAAGTCGTCACGGCAATATCATTCCGAATGTCATTCATTCTCATTTAGGCACCCTTCTCGCCGCGGGGGCGGTTATTTTTGTAGCAGACAATGTCGCTTAATTGTTCGAGTTTCTACTTTTGTCATTACTTCTTGCATTCCATTTTACATATTATTCTGTTTGGGTCGTCAAGTTGATGATATGCAACTGCTGAACAGCGATTTATTCTCAGGGTTTTTGTCATAGTCAGAGCTGGAGTATACAGAGTATAATTTGCCTAAACTTCAAGTAATATGCATATTTAGTAGCTCGATTTCTGCCGCCATGCAGCAATGTCAACATTACTGTTTCCCTTTTGTAGGGTAAGGGTGCTGGTAAAATTACTGGCACATGGGACTTGTCAACTTATGTCTCAGGGTGACGTTCACAGCGGCATTTGCGATTTAAAGCTCTGAGTGACACTGCAACTGTTATGGACGGGCGTGTAGCTCACCACCAGGCGCACGACTTGTTCGTCCCGTCACTTGAAATTATAAATGAAAAAAAAAACTCCAAAAACATCACGCAAAGCTCAAAACAAAAGAAAACGACCCGCATCACGTTGTATGTATCCACTCGCATTGACGCGAGATACACAATAGCCGACACGATTTATCGATTCTACGATGTAAATCTCTATGGATAAGTATTCCGTTTTACGCATCAAGTAGTTGAGGTAATTTATTTTTACTTTATCATTTGAGTTTCTGTGTACTGTAATTTTTACTTAATATTGCGATTGAAATAAATGTTGTTTGTTTTTGGTCTATTGTAACAAATTTACTATTTCTTTTTGTTAACTGATTGTGAGAGTAATTAAAAATAGTATGCATGCAGTGTAAAAATTTGAAATGCCGCAGTACACATCCTATGTGAAATGGACTATAATGCTCGCCTTGAATATTCCCAAGTCGTACGCTGTACGGGGATAACACGAGAAAATTATTATTATTATTAATGCAGCAATAATATAACGATCGATGTTGAAGTTCGACGTTACAGTAACACTATCATCTATAGCACAAAACAATATGAAAAAAAAATTACAAGTAACCTATGAAAACCAACAGCGTCGTTTTTTAAAAAACGAATTCTAGAAAGTCTCGTTGTCCTGAGGATCGATTCTCGAAATAATGAACATGCCACAGTAGAGAAATGTGAGAAAACCGTAGCGAATGTCGATTGGTAGCAGTTTTTGCTATTTTAAGATTCTTACGAGAGACATAAGTTGAAACGCTCGTCACACTGCAAAGGGTCGAAGACGGCAGATGCCAAGATGTCACACGCGAATACGTATGAAAACTGGACAGATACGATAAAATGTTGACAATTACGTGTTTTAGACCCAAAAATATATCGATTCGTTTGAATTCCACTTTCCATTTAACATCAGTGCCTCAACCACGAGTATACCGCTGGCGACCGCGTAAATTACGGCACAATTTTGTATGGCAAATTATATAGCGCCCCTAGCGGTTACAAGAAGAAACAACATTTTCTATACAAACATTTTAGGCCATGCCAGCGATAACTGTCACTGTAATCTCATGCCACAGGTCATTTGCCTTTGTCATGTATAAAAAAATATGCAATACTGATTTTTGGTAGTAGAGCTCCTTGTGAAAGAGTTCGTCCAGGAAGTCCTGCCGCATTACCCATTTCTGCTGGTGAAGTTGAGACTTGTCAATGTCTTTGTCTCAGGGTGACAGGCGCAGTAGCAGTTTTCCTCCGATCTTTGCGATTTGAAACTCTGGGTGGCATTGCCACTGCTATGGACAGGCGTCTCGTACCACCAGGTCAACGACTTGGTCGTCCTGTCAAGTGACAAGTGGTAACACAAAAAAAATCATACATAGAGTACGAGTCATTCAGGATCCCGTCTATATCAAGATGGTCGATAAAGCTACAGGAAACCTAAGACTTTCTCTCAGCCTATCCCAAATCCTTAATACAAGACATAAATCCAATAATAAAACAAAATACGACTTCTAAAAGGTACAAATTGATATCTCATTTTATTATACCTCTATAAACCATAATAAAGCAATATAAACCATTATAATATAGCCATATAATCCATATTCCTATGAGCAATAAAGGCATCGTCTAATGTTCGATTTACATATTCATGGAGGCACATCCGACGGAATTTGGTTTTATTTTATGGAGAGAATATCCATACCTTCATATATCTACTTGTAATTATAATTTCATGGAATTACCTAACTTATTTGTTATGGAATAACCAAGAAAAAGAAACAAAATAACTTCCACAGTCGTTGATACACGGAATGTAACCTTAACACAGGAAGACACTGTCGGTTATTTTCCAAGAATATTATTATTATGTCTAGTATGATTATATGCCTCAAATATGAACTATGGTACCATTGAAACATAAAATTCTGAGACTTAGGTTTTTGTTATTGTATTTCCTCTATATCCGAAACTAGTAAATGTAAATATGAATCATAGAAATATAAAACCAAATAAGTCAAAAGCAATACTATCAAAATACAGATGGGACTTTAGCGAAAACGAGATATAGACGCGTCGAATGGGCGTTCACCTAGATATTAGTTTAAGGAGATTAACATTGTTACACTAACACTAAAGTAATTTTTATATGAAAAATAGTGAAAGACTTACTACGAGGAACAAAAATAAACTAGCTGTTCTGGACAGTCGTCTTCATAAAGTCACAAATTCATTTAAAGGGTAACGCATACGTTACGTATTATTATTATATTATTAGTAATATTATTATATATTATTCCGGGTGATATTCAAAGTTTGCCATTTACGAGGCTTAAAACTATAGTGAAACAAAAACTTTTTCAAGATTAAACGGTTTTTGCATACTTGGATGGCAAAAATCCATGGCAAAAATGTTTAAAATAAATATTGTAAATGAAAAATGTATTCAAATGTATATTTACAATGAGCAGCCCTTACAGTTTCTTGCTCATTCTTCTCAGGGGAATTTGCCTTACGAATGAGCGGTAGAGTTTAATGAATATGACGATGAAATAAGGATGATTTAACTTTGACTTAAGTAGTTCCCGAAGCAAAGGTCACAGGAACGAACCGCTTTTGAGAAATCCTCCAACCAAATAACTCGTCAGCTTATCTCGCCGAAGTGGCGTCAAATTACTTTTCAAATTGGACTCTACATTAACTCGCTTGAATCGAAGATATAACACAAAACGCTTTTATAATTTATCCCCGGCGATGGATAGTTGTTTCTTTTTATTTACGTTACCATGTGACGAACGAACAAATCGTGGGCATGGTGCTAAGTGACACGCCTGGCCAGTTGCAGTGACTGGGAGAAACTCCCACTGCGCCTGTCCCCAGAGACATAAGTAAGCGTAAGCGACGTGCGCGTCCTATTTGACCACTTACAAAACGAAAAAGCCAAAATTGAATAGATATTCTTTGATAAAAACTTTTATTTTTGATGAAAATTCTTCGTGAATACCAGAAAGTACCATAAATTTCAAGCACTTTATTACTGTCTCTATTCCCGCAACTTTCAACGGTTATTTGGAGACAATGACGACTGTTAATTGTCCGACTTTCTCTCTTTATTTTCATTCTTACCCTAATAAAGATTTTCGGCAATTTCCTGCTTTGGATCTTTTTCAATGAAGTCCATTTCGCTTTGAAAGACTAGAGGTTTCGATTTGAGGATTTAATATATCGTATCACGCCTAATTTTCACTTGGTTAGGCAAAGACCATGGACCTCCACGCGCTAATTCCTACACTCGCATTAGGTTTTTTTGAAAACTTTTTGTTACTTTCGACGGCACGTCTTTTAAGAATATCCCCATTTTGGTCGAGACAAACTCGACGAGGTCGACCTTTTCACGTTTGGTCTGTAAACTTGTATCCTTATTCAACTATCATGCTTCCTTTTCAATTGACTAAACTAACGATAGACGATCTTTTTAAATTATTTTCAGGTAGTGTGTCAATTTGATTATAACACAAAGACCGGTTGTTTGACTGCATGTCTCCGAGTCTTATAAATACTACAAAACAGAAATTGAGCCAGTCTTCTATAATTGCCCCGGATGAAAACGAGTACAACTAGCATTTTTATCAAAATTGAGTTGCATACATATTCGGGATCAGGAAGTAAATGCCAATCTAATAAATTTTTTTTTCTGGAAATAGGTATATCTCAATAATTTTTCAATATACAGCAAACTCAAATATATAACATTACTGAGTTCAATAATCTGATTTTTTACTATATAATCATATTAGACATTTATTACGTTTAGACACTAATATCAAAGGATTTTACTTAGTGATGTACGGAACTGTGCCCTTATTATGAAGTTTAATTACAATATTACAACTGAATACAATTGTAATCTTTCAAAGTAAAGAGTCTTGAGTCAAGAATTAAAAGTCAGTCTACGATTGTTTTTCTACTAAATTAAAAAAGTATTTTTAAAAACGGCTGATTAAAAAACAGTGACAGCTTGTGTATAAAACATGTGGTATTTATTTATGACATAAATAAACTACTGAATATCAAATGTATATTTAAAGTACCTAAAAAATATTTATACATTTACCGACAAATTTAGATGCATGTGTCTTTCTATCTTTCGAAGGCAGAAAATTCGATAAATTGGTTCTTAGCTTTGCGAAGAACGAAACTGTGGTTCAATTTTGAACTCAAAGTGCTATCAGCAAAATGACGCATTACCACCTTGAGGTTTCGAATAGGGGCTAGATTATACTTTTATTATAAACAACAACAATGGACGACTCTAGCTAACAATCTCCGCTTGCAAACAAAACTGTTTTGCTAATGGGAAGACTTCAACTTTGCCGACGCTACCTAGTTTAACTAATAACAAGATTCACACTTACAAGCAACTTCAATAAAGACAGCTTGACTCCTTATCTTGCCTTTGCTATTCCAAGCGTAACATTCACAGCTGTACTTCCCTCCGAAATATTCATCTACCTCATTCCTAGTCACATTCAATTCTGCATCTACCATCCTGACTCCGGTATGAGGATCGACAAATTCCAGCTGCACTGTTTTATCTGTTCTTATGTCATTGCATTTGAAGAAAACCTGCAAAGCGTTTGCGGCTCGGCAAAGGAGTAATGCAGGCTTCGTCTTAAGCACGAACGAGTTTTTCGGCTCCAGAAGAAAAATTGGCAGACCGTCAATTGTTTCGTCGTTTTCTGGCAACGGTATGTAGTCGTCATCTTCCTGCATTGGTTTGAAGTCGGAGAGGTATGGATCGAAGTTTAACACCCCATCGGGGTGGATGTACTCGGGGCGAGTTTCTTTTGTTGTGTTCTCCAGATCTGCAAGAAAGCATAGCAGCTAAGAATTTGGTAATGACGTCGATGCTTTATGCCACATGACGAAGCGAAATTTCCAATTTCATTTGCAGAAATACCTATGGAAATTGTGAATTAGCCAACAAAAATATGTACGCTATATTCATATACAATAATAATTATTTTATTCAAGATAACAGTGAACACCAATGTAACGAAATTAACTTCGAGCACTACGCGAAACGTTTATTATCTAGTTTCTACCGGGAACCAAAACCCCGAAGCTCCCCGTTTAGCATCCACATTGCTAACGGCTAAGACATTGAGGTCGCCAAACTAACTAATGCACGTTAATGATAATACACTCCTTTAAATATTAGAGTACCTATTTCTATCTGCATGAAGCTAGTTACAGACGAGGTCAACCGGATATACCTAGGTGTTTCTAGTTACCCCTTTCTCAGTTAGGTTAGTTAGACTAAAATAGAAACAGTCTAGTTTAAGCCTCGTTACCAATTGCAGAAAGTACAAATAGTATTTCAATATATCAAATCATACTCGTCAATTAATAAATTAACGCCAAACTCACCTCCATTCCTAACTAATCCAATAAACATTGCAATCAAAATAACAATTTCACTGATATTCCTTTTCAAACACATCACTGCCAAAAATGAAATTAAAAGAAAAAGCAACAAAAAACACTAAACTGACTCGAATTCAAGCCTCTAAATGGAACACTAATTTAAAAAATTCAGTTTAATTCAGAAAACATTCATTTTCGGGATCCGAAACAGCACGTGGTTCGAAATTTAAAGTAACAAGACGCGCGTGGAGTACCGACGAGCGCGCCCGGCCAACTGAGACTCCCTATGCATTATTCCACGCTTACATGGAATAGTGTATTATGACATAATTAGCATAGTGGTGAAAATTCCACACTTTTAAATGCTTATTTTCAAACTCTTTAAACTTCTAGCTTTTAAAACTTTAATGAACACGGACATGATAGTTAATTTTTTTCTCAAAAAGTAAATAGTGAACTTAACGGTACTTCTTTATTTATAATACAAAGGTTCAACGACAATTTTAAGTAGAATGTTAAGTATTTTTAGTATATTTTTGTTTAATTATAGCAAATACAACAAGATCTTAATTTTAATTATATTTTGAAACGTGTAGTGCCATCTATTAAGTGGTTAGCAGAAGTTTCACGTCATCTTGTACTTCCCCTACAAATACCAGTCGAATGTCAAGGTTTGAAAACTGCACGCTCAGTATTTCACCAATTCTCCGATAGATGGCTCTGTATGGTTCAGTACCAGTAACGTCATCTCTGTTATAGTTAGAGAACTATAAGGATAACAAGCTCACTTACCACACCACTCGGAAACGTTTAGCTTGTATTTTTGTACATGCTTTCCTCAAGTAAGTGCTTTTTTTATCGTCCGACAGATGGCTTCAAATATGATGAAATACGAAAACATTTTCTTTTTTCAAAATTAAAATAATCTGTGTTTCTTATTATTATGTTTAATTATAGTAAAAGTAAGGTGAAAAACTTCGCAAGAATAGAATGGCGTTTAGTACACAGTCAAATAGTGTCGTTCTTAAAACTATTGACAAAAAGTAGGAAAACTAATAGAAAAGGTAATTTTAACCGACTTTAAAAAAGGAGGAGGTTCTCAATTCGACTGTCCAAATCCATAGTGGTCCAATTTCATTTTGAGGAAAATCATCCACCTCTAAGGGTTCACGCATGAAGATTCATTTTTATAAATAGTGCCTAAATTTTACTCAAGGAGCAATTATTTTAATGGTTGATTTTGCTCTTTTTCCAATTCAAGGCATTTATCTCTCAATATTCTTTGAGTAGTGAGAACCGATTTTTATTATCTCCAGTGTCAAGTCCTGTATAGTGGCGAACTAGGGGATATTTCAATAAAACTTAGCAAATAAACGTAATTCCACATACTTTTGAGGTCGGTTTTTTAGTACTCTGTACTGAGATTATTAAAGTCATCATGACGATGAACAGGTGCTGGCTTAGCGAAATGCCGCTATTGCCCACGTCTCTGGTGAGACCCAGAGACTGAGCTTTGTTAACAGATTTCTAAGTGAAATTGTTTTTTTCTTCTCATCTCAATATTCTTTATACTCAGTTCAAAACTGTAAAATTTCCATAATGGATACGCATTTGCCGCCGGAAATCAAGAAGTTTGAAGTTCGTGTTGTTGAATGTGTTCCCTTGTTATTTCTTTTTATTTCGACCTTTTATTGGTCCAGTTCTTAGAGGAACTTAATTCCGAGTTTGTATAATAATTTTAATTTACTCTGAACACCAAAAAAACTGTCCACGTGTATCATTAGGCTTGGTTTTTCTGTAGATCTTATTTTGCCTAGAATATATTTAAATTTATACCAATTGTAAATCATTTGGCTACACCAACATTATTCTCACATCAAGTGGGTACGTGACTTGATCTCTTTCTTTTTTTTTAATAATAATAATGTAACACCGAAAAAGTCAATTTCAATTTATTATTCACCAAATTACCCTCAGCATTTACACATTGAACGTCTAGAAATTTGAAATTCGAATTCCAAATTCAAATGTTCCGAGAGTAGTGTTGCCAACATTGAATATTGATTGCACAAAAGGCGTTCAGCAAGCGTATTCTCAATTCAGAATTATTCGGAATCGCTCGATTCCTTTTGAACGTTCAAAATATGTAAGTAGCCAAATTTTGCAGTTACATTTTTAGAAAAAATAACGTCCTCCGTCCTTTTCTCGCTGTTTGGAACAAATATTTCTTATCCTTTTCAAATTTGAGGTACGGAAATTCAAATTTGACGGGTTGGCTCGCCTTTCCGGAGAAGATTTTCATGTATAATGAACCGTTGAAGGTTGAGCAATCAATATAAAATCAGCGTTGAATTTTTGAAACTGTTTTGCCTACAATCAAGAAAACATGGGTCTTATTCTCAAGGTGTGTTCGAGAATCTTCGGAGAAACTAAATCAGTTCGGTAAAATCATTACTTCAACCTGTCTAGTATTGTTTAGGGTCATTTTAGTTTGACGACAATACCAATTACTTACTGGTCTCGAACATGGAATTTTCCCTAAAAGACCTGACCCAATTTAAGAAGTTCAATGCCTAGTTATCAGAAATCGAACCTAGATGGTTAGCCTGGCAGCTAGATAATCAACAAAATATGTATCATAATAATTTATTAATATAATAAGAGAAACAATTATTTGCCAAACAAAAGAACACCTTATAGGATTACCTGAGCTTACCGGGTAAAGTAGAGCAAAATGGACAACTTAACTAAATCCGTATTTCCCGCGAGATAAACACAGCGTTGTTAGAGACACTTGAGAGAAGCAACTTTGGGAGTCTTTCAAGAGGGGCTTCTTACACTGTCCGATACGAGCAATCCAATTTCAACGCCCGTAACGATCGAAAGTTCTTTCGGATCGTGAGTAAATAAAACAACTGCCAATCCGATTCAACACGGACGAAAATATTGTTGTCAATATTGCGCCAAATAAATTACGTCATTACATTGACTTACAAATAAATGGACGACGGGTCTAATACAAAAACCACGAAAAAAATGTCCCAAGTCAACCTATTCGAAATTTAAATTGTAATGTCATCGCAGTATCGCGCTGTCAGTAGAACAAATGAAGACTAAAGCGGAGTGTCGCGCTCTGTATACGATTTTAGCGCCTTACAAGTGCGGACACTTTTTAGCGCGGACCCGACGTCCATATAATTGTAAGTCAATGCGTCATTATGATTATTTTATAGAAATAAACACAAAGGGTTTTATTCATTTGTCCTTTGCCTTTGGTACAGAACGGACGCTTTCAATCAACTTGGAAATGTTGCTATTACATTTTTTATTTATTATCTAATGGGGCAAAGCCGCTAATGTCACAGGCATGACAGATAATTTACAGCGTGTACTTTTATTTTTTACAAGTAGCCGATACGTTCAAGAAGACTTTCTTGACTCTGACAATGGTTATTTTCAAAAAGTCCGAAAATGTGTTTCTGTAGCTTGTGGTGTTTCAATCGCAGCTCAGTTGTTAACTTGCTTATTGACATTAAGTAAATATTATTAAATATAGGGAAACAGTTTTACAGCTCTATTTAGTTTACACGAAAAACAAATCAAAACAACTATAAAATACGTTGTTCTATATTCAAATTACTATGGATTTTAAATGTAATAATTAATGGGCATGGAAATTAATTATACACACCATTGAGAAAATAGAAGCACTGTACAGTTGGGTAATTTTCCGAAAAATGTGCAATATGGTACAAAATTTCCGGAAAAATTCCCCAAAAATTGGAAAAATCTAATTTCGAAGGCTAAAATTACGTTCTACGTTTAGAAATATCTATTGAAGTTTTATTTAGCATAAATAATAAAATAAATTTGTATAGTTAAAACGAGATTTAAAATGATTTCACAACAACAAAAAAAAACCTTTATAATGGTTCTATCGTTTTCATTCAGTAACTTCAACTTTTGACAGATGTCAACGTCAAATGTGGAAAATTAAAGAAAACATATTGGAAAAATATCCGGAAAATATGATTTTTTCAAAATGGAAATTCTTCCATTACCCAACACTTCCTTCAACTCCGATCACTGCTTATAACTCCTGTTTTTGCGTCCGATTAAAAAATAATCTTGTAATGAGTCGCGTGACCTAAAATACCCTTCTCAAGTACCTATAACATTCACAACCCCATCACGTAATCGCAAACGAGTGCGGTTCTCGAGAGAAGATTTTCTCTCGATTGTTCGAATCTTGGGAGCTTAACACGATCAACTAGGTTTTGTTGCCAAACGATAAACCGCTTACCGCATAATACTGTTTGTTGGTCAATTTATTACTTCTCTCATAATAATAAGGAGGATTCAAGTATCAATGATAAAGGAAAAGATTCCTCTAGTAACTTATAAAAGTGGCTCTAATACGGCTTAATAGAGATTATTATGACAACGTAATAATTTTTATAGAGTTCTCAGGTTTTCATATTTGCTACGCACCAGTAATACTTTCATTACCTCCAATAAACACTACGCCATTTTTAATTTTTAGCCATGTCCTGTTTGTTTTTCACAAAATTCATTTTTTCGAAAAAAAACCGGCGTCTTCTAGCAAACCGTACTAGACGTTATGCCAACTAAGCCACGGAACGAACCAGCGGACGTTACGAAATTTTCTAGGTGCTTGTTGCAGATCTTTGTTTAACAAGTTTTTGTTCTTTTTTTCGAATTTTGTTTTTGGTTTTCTTTTTGTTTTACAAAATTCGTTGAGCACAATATTAGTACATAAATACTTACCTATTTCTGCCGCCAAGCAGTAACGTCAGCATTACTGTGTTCCGCTTTTGAAGGGTAAGGGTGCTGGTGAAATTACAGGTACATGGGACTTGTTAATTTATGTCTCAGAGTGACGGGCGCAGTGGCAGTGCCCCTCAAATTTTTGCGATTTAAAGTTCTGAGTGGTATTGCAACTGTTATGGACAGGCGTGTAGCTTAACATAAGGTCCTGTCACTTGATATTATAAAAAAAAAATATATCTGTTTACAAAAATAACAGAAAATGACCAAAAAGTAAAAATGGCGTAGTTTTTATTGGACGTATTGTGTGTGTCCAGCCAAACATAAGGCGTACAAACATATTGGAGGTATATTATAAAATTACACACATGCACTTTTACTCCCGCTTTCAAAACAGTTAATGTCAAACATTGACTTGCAAATAAATGGACGACGGGTCTAATACAAAAACCACGAAAAAAATGTCCCAAGTCAACCTAT